AGTATCTGTATATGGTTCCTCTCATATTCAACAGTAATAAAAGAATGTTATCATGCGGTCATATCCATTTTGCCTTTTAATTTTTGTATTGGGTTCTTCATTTTTGTTTTTATTTTTCAGTCACGCTTCTCTTTAGATTTCACTGCAAACTGTATCTAATGTATTTCCCGTGCTACCTTCGAAATGTGGATTCCTGATGAGTGCTTCGTTATTTTAAATAGATAAGGCGAAATGCGTCGGCGAAATTAATCTCTACATTTATTTTATTATTTTCTTAAATTTAGTACAGAAAGAATAATTTTACTTTTAACTAAAATTCGACTTTGATCGATTGCTGAAAATCAAGAGTTGAGACGAGCAAATTGATTTGTCTTTTCGTTAAGAGACAGATTGGTTTGTTTTTGAACTGATTTAAGAATAGCCTAGTTTATCCATGCTTTATGTAAGACAGTACAGTTGTCTGTCAGTGTGAAAAATCAATGCTTCTGAACAGGGTTAGTGACAAAAATGGTTTTGATGTAAAATTTGAACAATTGGAAGAAATTCATATGAAATTGAGATGAAAGCGTTGATTTATCCTACCATGTCTTTATTACGAATGACTATATCAAAGTACCGTGAACTAAACTTATCATTATGTATAGATTTTTGTAAAACAATTTTCTATGCATGACAGTATACATTAGAATAAATCCTGTTGATTCTATAAGTAATCATATAGATTTAATGCCATCTGATGAGATCCTTACGCAAGATTAAAACGCGTCATGGCTGCCTATACCACACCCAAACCCAAAATATCCGACATAAAGTATGCTTGTTGAGGTAGTTTTCATAGTAATAAGCATTAAGATGAATACAGCTCTTTTTTTTCTATTGTTATTGTAGTAAAAATAATATTATTAAAAATTTTCTAATGTAAATTTTTTTATTTATATAACTTTTATAATTCAAATATGAGAATGTACTAATAATCCTTGTAATACCATCTGATGATTAATTCAAATGAGATTAATTATATTATGACTCATACCGGTAGAATTGAAACAAAACAAAACAATTTGTTTTTTTATTATTATTATACATAAAGCACAAGGTAATCATTTACCTCTAATTTCTTTCATTCATTCGATTCAATTTAATAGTAAAATCTTTTTTCTTTTTAAATATATTTTATTTTATGAAACACGAGCAGAAAAAAGGATTCAATCTATTTCTTCTTTTTTTCGCGCATTCCAATCTCAACTGAAATTCTCATGTCAACTGTGCCATATACATTAGAAACAAAGTGCTCTAACTATAATTTAAAACCACAGACTCTATGGTGCCCTCCTACATCTTGACATGCACATTCAGGTATAAAATGTTAAATCTAAAGAATGAAAATTCTTCGCCGATTCTCGGTTAAAAATTCAATATTAACTGAAAGACGATGGATATCATTGACAAGTTTAGGAAAACAAGACTGTCAATAAAAAAAACCATGATGTTTCTAGAACATCAGACTATGGGCTGTCTTCCGATATGTGTATCTTCATTCTCATCTTGTTTGACAAACGTGAACTTTCTGGGTTTGGGGAATCTTGAATAACGTTTCGATAGACATTAAAATAAACTTCAAAGTAACATCCCACATACCATTTCTCAAGTAAGTATATCCATGGATCACTTTCTGCTATCAATCATGTACTTGATGATCGATAATCATTGTGTTTTTATGGTATCGTCAAAAACAGTATATGATGTTGATTGATGATTGAAATATTCTAGCAAACAGTTGATTAGAAATGAGCAATTCCTAAACGTCAATATTCTAATGGTCGTTTAAGTAAAAGATAAAAAAAACGTTTCTTGTTGAATTAATCAGATGACTATATGTCAAATGCATTCAAAATCAAGGGTTAAATGTCAGATAAATCTTCGATTTCTTTCATTCTACTCGTACTTGAACAAAGTAGACGAAACCTTAATACGAAAGAGAAAGATAACAGAAACTGATAGAAGACAAAATAATTTTATGATAATGAATCACAATATAAAACCATCTGGCTATGGTCAAAAAACGTTGAGTTGATGAAAGACAAAAGAAATATCTGATCAAGAACCATAACAAAAAATGAAATGTCTCATCATCACACAGTACAGAAAAAGACTTGAATGAGACTACACATCTAGTGAACAATCATCATGATGAACCACACAAAGGAAATCTTAGACATGAAGACCGATAGAAAAATAAATCAAGAGATAATGAAAGACCAAATCATAGCATAATCAAAATTAAAGAGGATAAATAGACATCGATCAATATCGAAAAATATCTGACACCGATGAAGCACAAGAAGGTGATGGAAACGAGAAAAAAAACGTTTTAACGAAGAATTGTATCAGACGAATTGTCATTTATCGGCTTCAGCCAACACTAACAAATGTTTCATTGTAGGAAAATATTCATTGTCTGGTACAGCTCCTGCAGCCCATTGCAAAGTAAATTCTTTTATTTGAGTTTTAATCGAAACATTTTCATTCTATAAAGAAAACCAAAGAGAAATTAAACGTCATGATTTATTGAGAAGAAAATACATATGCAGACAGTCTATGAAAGCTAAGATCTACCTGTTTTTCCGCCATTGCTATCGCTATATTTTTTCCTTAATTATACGTACGATGGATTATTGGAACGTCAACTGAATGAGAAAAAAGTGAGTGTCTATATATAATGTGAAAACAATTCGTAAGCAGACGGCCATTCTACTCATAGAGAAGAAAAATGAGACAGGTCAAGAGAAAAAAAACTCAATACGAAGGCATCAATGTTGCTGACGCGTCATCCGATACAGAAAAGAAGAGAGAAGAAAGAAAAAAAATGTAATTTTGATCAAGTGAACTGCTAAACGAGTATTGAAATTTCATCCAACAAAAATCATCGACAATAAAAAAAATAATCGTTTATTTACAAATATCCATAAGAAAAAAGTTCTAATGTTATAATTTTTTTCTAAAGAATCTATTGAAACATAGTTTTTAAGCAAAGCTTATGCTTCAACCATTTTTTCATGAGAAGAAAAGGAAGATTTATTCAAGCCAGAGTTATCAAATATTTTCTTTAGGATAGAAGAGTTCTTATAAAGAAAGAGCTTCACCAGAAAATTCTTCACAAAATATGAGAATAAACGCTATGACTAAAGTCTTCTGATTTCTATAAGAAAATCTAGAATTTCCTTCTGATATTTCATGAACAGTTTCTTGCTTGTTTTCATCACATTTATGCTAAAATCTATTGGTTTTCCTTTTATAATCGACGAAAAATATTTTGATTTTTCTCGGTAGAGTTCAAAGAGAACCTTCTAGTTTTATCATTATATTGCAAGCAAAACATTCTGGTTCGCTACGATCTCAAAGGTAATTATATTTTCAAATTGAAGCGAGTGAAGGCTTACATTAGGAAATTGAAATGAGCCCGCTGTTGCAACATTTTTTTCAAATGATGGGTAAACGAACGGCGAAGATACAAATCGATCTGCAGTTCTAACATGAGACAGCGTGCGATTATCACTAGTTAAATGCTCATGTTCATCATCGCCGTCGTCCTATAAGATAACAGTGTAGACTATAACCATTGTCTTTTAATGAATCATTGAATAAACTATCCTACCTTATCATCATCAGATACGTTTTTAAGCGCATCATTGAGGACTTTGTTGCTATTACGTAGTTCCTCCTTCAATTCTTCAAATTTTGGGTGGTGCGATTTGTTCAGATGGGTCAGTCATTTATCCTTTTGGCGTGTTTTGAACGTACATTTGAAACAAGTAATTTCCCCATTTTCTGCAAAAAAACACAACCATAATTGGACGGATGATATTTTGAATATGATTGAGCCTACCCATGTCGATCAAAATGGACCACCGTAAACACGCGTAACATTACCGTAAACGGTCGTTTTTGCATCATATTCCGTCGTAAAACGGCCGTTTTAAGCCGTATTAAGGCGTTTTAACAGGGGCAGTATTACGGCCATACACGGACACCGTATATCAGCCGTAAAGCCTCGTAAAGCCGGCGAAATATTATCATATTCTATAGAACATACGGCCGTGTTACTGCCCCTGTTATACGGGGAAAATACGGCACGTAAAACGGACCGTATTTGTATCGTATACGACCGTTTACTGATCGTTTTCTTCGACCGGGGTACTATTTCTTGGATATTCATAATCATAGAATAACTTTTTTGTTGATTGTTGGACCATCTAGAACGTGTTAAATACAGATTAATTTTGAATAGCAAAATATCAACATGCTTTCAATGCCAACACTAATATGACACATCAATAATCTATATATATAATGTTCAGTGTCTGTGTGTCTGTCTGTGCCGGGTCAAAGGTCAAAGGTTAAAGGTTAACTGTTAACGGTTAAGAGTTGAGTAGAGTCCTACTATGTTTCTAGAAAGTTCTAGAAATATGTAGCCTGTTCCAGAATGTTCCACAACTATCTACAGGTTTCTATAATCCATTTTAATGATCTGGCACTGAGTAGAATGTTCCAGAAAACTCTAGAATTTTTAGTGATGGGTGGATTTGTGGGGTGTGGGTCTGCAGAATAAAACAGTCCAAACCCAGACTTCCACCCGAACCAACACCAACATCAACATCCACACACCCACACCCACACCCAAAAATAGAAAATAAACTGTTTAATAGATGTCACTAGATATAGATAAATAGTGTCCATAATATAGAAATGGATGTCGATGTGGATGTGGATGAGGAGTGGGGGTGGGGGGTGAGTCTACATTTGGATGTTTCTCTAAAGTCACACCACACACCCCTTTCTTCTTTTTTTTAATGAAATATTTCAGGTGGTCGCTACATTATCAGCGCATACGCCTATTACACAGTGGAAAGGTAATAAAGCTAAAATGTCTATTGAGAATTTTTATGCCAATTTAATTAATCAATATGAAGAAAGAGAAGAAAGGTAAATTGAGTTGTGAGCATCTATTTCAAAATTACCCAGTTCGATCGGCGAGCAAAAGAATTGGTGTTCTTCATTTGAACAACTCATGATAGGAACCCGCGGTTTTTACCGTTTGATAGTCAAGATCCAAAAACATAGTTTCATACATAATCAAAATCAGCATAAAAGACTGAGCATGCTTCGAATCTTTTCACTCAAGAACAAACAGCATGTTGATGAAATTCACTTTTTTGACCGATTCCCGAAGAGGACCACAAAGGTTCGAAACATGTATGAGTTGGGTTAATTTTTGATGTTGTGAATATGTAAAAAAATCTTTTGCTTATGAAACAGCAGGTTTCTATCATGCGTTGTTCAAAACACATCCGCGTACACTGACTTCCGCGCTGATATTGATTTCGAATAGCGAGCTTCAGTTTTCGAAATAAAAATCTCAAATCTATAATAACTCAATTACCATAGTTGCTCGGATATCAATGATTTGACAATAATCGAGAGTATGTTAGCACAGTCATTTTATTCTAGAAAATAAATATTTCAGTGATGTGAGAGTTTTATTCACTCACAAACAAACTTAGTTTTAATACAAAAACAATTGGATAATCAATTTTGTAAAAAGAAAATAACTTTCGAACTGTTTGAGAATAATAGTATTGAAATCTATTTTTGCTTTAAATTGTGTAATTACCACGAGCGAATTTCAATCACTATCGGCAATGACAATTGAAAAATGCAATCGAGTCATGTTTAATACAACCTCCGCTCGAGAAAGCAAACAGTCGAATTACGTAATACTTGGATCACTCCATTCGATAAACAACTATATAGTTTCTCATCAATAGATACCATCGATTAGAAGAAACCATGAATGCTGATGGCTTATCTGATCAGGAAGTAAATTGTGTGACTTTCAAATAATCTATTTTCTTTTGTGTGAGTGTGGCTTCGTTTAGAAACTAGAAAAACGTCATTCACATGCAGCCAAAGAAACCGAATACTTACGTTTGAAACGAGTTAAAATGAGTGCTGAAGCTTTCGAACCATTAAAAGTGATTGGACGAGGGGCTTTTGGCGAAGTAAATCATTTTTATAGCCTTTCATTTTTTTAATTGTCAAATTTAAACAAGGTTCGTCTAGTACGAAAACGTGACACAGGACACATATGCTATGAAGATTTTACGTAAAGAAGACATGCTATTACGTGAGCAAGTAGCACATGTACGTGCCGAACGAGATGTACTTGTTGAAGTTGATCACACGTGGACCGTTAAAATGTTTTATTCATTTCAAGATGCAAGAAATTTATATTTAATTATGGAATTTCTTCCTGGTGGTTAGTTAAGCATTCTGTATTTTTCTTTCAACTATTCTTCTGTTTAGGTGATTTAATGACATTATTAATACAACAAGAAATCTTCAGTGAAGATATGACGCAGTTTTACGTGACAGAAACAACACAAGCAATCGAATCAATTCACAGACTAGGCTTTATTCATAGAGATATTAAACCAGATAATCTTCTACTTGATGCAAAAGTAATTTTCGATATTGTTCCGAAAGAAGACAAATGATTTTAATTTCGTGTAGGATCATATAAAACTGTCAGACTTTGGCTTATGTAATGACTTGAAAAAAGCTCATCGGACCGAATTCTATCGTGATATTCGAAGCATGCGACCACAAGATTTTAGTATGATATATATTAGACTTCTCTCAATATTGATAGTAGGGGGAAAAGTCTAGTCGGATAATTTTCGAAATTTTCCTATGTTTATTATGTGATTGATATTTTTAGCAGCTACTCCAGCTGATTCTAAACGACGAGCTGAAACATGGAAAAGAAATCGTCGTGCATTATTGGTTAGTACATTTTGGTTTTTGCTCGATTTATAAAATATTCCTTGTAATACGCTTATTCAACCGTCGGTACACCAGACCAGATTACATTGCGCCTGAAGTATTCAAACAGCATGGTTACAATAATGTGAGTTATCTCCTATGAATTGACATTTCGGAAAAAAAAGTTAAAATTTATTTGTAATTTAGAAAGCCGATTGGTGGTCATTAGGTGTAATTATGTATGATGAGATGTTAATCGGTTATCCGCAATTTTGTGCTGAAAATCCAGAAGAAACCTTTCGTAAAGTAATGAATTATCGTGAAACACTTGTTTTTCCGCCAGAATTACCCATATCAAATGTGTCGACAGGTCTTATACTTAAGTATGAGTCGATCGTTTATTTTTAAAAGTATAATTCATTGATGTAATTAGATTCTGTACGGATGCCGATCGACGTCTAGGCTCATTAGATAATATTCGAAATCATCCGTTCTTTCTGGGTGTTAATTGGGATCATATACGAGATCGACCCGCTGCATATCAATCACGCGTTGAATCCGTTGATGATACGTCCAATTTCGATGATTTTCCTGATGTCGATCTTAAATTACGTATGTTAACTATCGATTTTCGATGATCATTTGATTTCTTTTTATTTCAGCATCCCCAACAAGAGAGACTGAAGTGCAAGTTCATGATTGGCTTTTTATTAAATATACATATAAATGTTTTGATGGTTTGGCAGCTAAACCAAAATTTAAAATGTCAGCACCAATAGGTTCATCGTCATCATCAACACACTGATAGTAAAACTACAACGAAGATAAAAAAATCAATGCAATTCTTCCATTTTTTTTAAATCACTGAGCAGTCGTTTCATTTTTGTTGTTCAACGAACTATCTACTAACATAATATGTTCAAATCCGTTGTTATCTCTTTTTACCAATGAATGTATTCAAGTTTTGTACATAGATAGAGCGTGCAAATAAAACAAATAACATTCATCAATTATACAGAGACTTACGTAAGTTACAAGAAAGATTTGATGCATTTTTCAAGGAAAGAAGTGGTTATCTTGAGTGGCTGACATTTTCTCGAACATATGACTAAACGCTGGATCATTCACAACTACATTTTTAGCAACGATTTCTCACGTAGATTCAGAAAAACAAACTTCTAGAAAAGCAACAAATTTTGTATAGGAACTGTGGGGAAGTTTTTCAAAAACATGCTGTATATAATCGAATTTAGCGTGTCAAGTTGCACTTAGAAGTGTGAAAAAAAATTTTAAAAAGTAAGACTGCTTGAATTTTGCACTTCCTTCACGTTACATATATGCTATGAACGAATTTCTCTCTTTAAAAATAGAATTAGAAGAAATTGTTGACTTCTTTATGCGTCCCTTTTTTTAAAATGATCTCAAGATAGAACTGTAGCGGCCTTTCTCTAATCAATTTGTAAATGCCAAGACTAAATGAGTAGGATAGTGAATGTATTCAGGTTAATGAAACTTGAAATATGATGTTTCATACGATTGTTGCAACATTCTAGATTCCTATTTTTACTATTGCGATGGAACAAACGTAAAATTTTAGCTCTAATGAAAACATCTAGCTTCTTTATTTTCTAGACGTACATCATTTATTTAATAACGCAATGCATGTCAATACGGAGATCGTTCTTATTTACATAGTTGTTTCATTAAGAAAATTATCGTTGCTTGGTATATTCTAGCATATTCATTTTTTAAATCACAAGATAACTACACTAACTAATGTTATTTGTTCTGATTGTCAAGACTATTTCGTTGCCTAAAAATGCATCAATCGTCTTATCAGATATCAACTCATTGATCCTTATACGTTGAAATATTTTCAATAGTGAACTGTTATCATTTGATTTCTCAAAGTCTATTTAAAAAGTGACCCATGGTAAAAGCTCAAAGAAACGAACATCTAAGAAAGCGTTCTTGTTAATGAGCAACGCAACCTTTATCATAAAAAAATGCGTTTCATAGAGAACGAATGTCGTATCAACCGAAACACCATCTTGAGAAACTCCCAAGTTCAAACAAGAGAAAACGTGTTTTCTTCCAGTTTTTTTAACGCCAGATATAGTTGCGTTCTGAAAATAGTTATCTAAGAAGAGAATCATACTGTTTTTGTTATTCTTGTGAGACTATTTTTAGATACATTTATGCTTCATTTGAAAAAATTATTCTTAAAGAACTTTTCATTATGTGTTCGATTTTCTCAATATCAAAGGACGTGCATTTAATATATTATATATGTAACAATTGGCAACTGAAAATTTTAATTCATCGTGCTCTAAAATTGATGAATAGATGCTTTTAATTTAAAGTAACTACTTTTCTTTTCTCTTTTGTGGAACTCACATATATTTTCGGAGAAAATAGTGAGTGTGAGTTGAATTGTTAAGTTTTTGCGGCTCCCCTGTACTCCACCCCCCTCCCCATTACAGACATAAAACATAAAAGAACTAACACTTAGATGCACTAATTAGAAACTTTTTTGTGGTGCAGGTCGATTACCTATGTTCACCACTACTCACATCAGTAATAAAAATCTAGTTTCACTAATTATAAATCATTATAATTATGATTGAATCTCTAATTATTCATCAAAATTTGTCGTTTTCATTATGATAGCCCATAGCAACGACAGTATTATATATTTTTATTATTGCAGATGTTAGCAACGAGTGTACCGCTGCCGCTACAGAAGCTAGCAACTAGTTTATGCTACTATTACACTGGTTACTTCTATCACCGACAATAAAGACATGAAGATTTTAATATTTTTTTCTCACACAAATACTTTAGTCTAGAGCTTGAATCCGCTTTAGTGTATTTACAATCCGCAACTATTCGATCCCTGGGAAGCTTTTATCAAATTTTCGTTTATGAAAAAATGTATCAATTTCTCACCTGATAATCCGAAAAAATATAAATTTCTCAACAATATTGATAGCTATATCCTAAATACTGTTTAAACTATTATTATTCACAATAATTCTCAATGAAACCACTAAACACTTCAGCATACTGACATATTTTAAACAAAAAGTTTTTCATGCGTTCTCTCTAGTAATATTTCCTATTGATAGAACCAATAAACTTCAAATGTTAAAACGGTTTTACTATCTTATTGTCGAACAAAATAAGACCTCACTGCACTGAAAAAAATAAAGCTTCTACTTGATCAGTATCTAACTGACCGAACTATGTGAGTTCCACATTTTAGCCCCAACGGGGGTGCGCTGAAAAGCTTTTTCAAAACATTCTATGCGTAAATGTTGAATCATCAATCATGCCACAATGAAGTTACTTCGTTGATGTTAAATATATATGACAATTCGAAACGGAGAAAAATAAATAAAATATCTATTGTACAAGACATGACACTGCAAAAAAGAATTAACTATACCATTTCAAAAAAATCAAAACGTCTTTTATCTTCTATAAAACGCACTTTCTTCGTATGATATTAAATTAAATTCTTAATATTTCTAATAGATTAAAGGTATGCGACTACGAATTCCACATTTCAAGATTGATTTAAGAAAATTGAAAACAGAAAAGCTATTTCATAGTCAAATTTCATTAAGCTTTTTCGCTGAATATATCCATAGAATTAAGTACACTGCATGTGTATGCACTCAAGTTTAAAAAAGTGATATGTTCACTGTGTTGTAGCCACAATATCTCTTAGACGAAACTACACTAAGGTAGCCAAGTAGACCTGAAAATCAATTTTGGTTTTTCTCAAAATGAACGCGTGTTCGTCAAAAGTGTGCTTTTAACAGATCAAACTAGTAATAATAAAGATCTGTTCAAGTGGAGCACTAGAAGCGTGTTCGCGACACATTTTTTCAGCACAATAACGCGTTTCTATTCGCTCTTTTTTTATTGCTTCTCGATGGGAAATAGAGCCTTACAATTTTTTTCTCCTTGTATCTTAGCAATAACCGTTTGTTGCTTTAGACAAAACAAGTAAAAAGGCACAACATCTAGTGATGTTTAGTTAAGTTTTACACACTTTCCAAATTATATAACAATAAAGTATGGCATATAAAAGTACTATCATTTGCATTTTTTTGATAGATTTTCTATTGCGAGCAAAATATTGTTTTTGAAATGGCGAGATCGACTTTTTACTAAAGTATTTATTATCATGTATTGGACCAACGGATTCGTTTTTGTAACATGTATATTGGCAGTGCAGCCACAAACATGGGTTGGAACCTATGCAGTTGGATCAACATGCAATGTCAACCAATGTTGCTGTGTCAGTGATGTAATAGAAATAACAGAATCCACATCAACTACATTATCAGTTACTACAGGCTTTGCTGGTTTATGTTTCGGACTAGCCAATTATACTGGTGGCATAGTTTATACAGGTGGATATTCAATTACACTGACAATCAGTACCATTACATTATCTATTACATTAAGTGCCGATAGTAACAATATCACTATTATTAATTCGATGGGCACGTCATGTACAACAGGAGCTGTTCGAGAAATCACCAATGTTCCCACGACTATAGGTAGCTCTTTCATTCCACCAGTCACATCAAGTTTCACAAGTATGGGAAGTACTGCTGTTCGACAAAGCACAATGGGCCCCACGGCTGTAGGTAGCCCTTTGATTCCATCAACCACCTCAGGTTTCACAAGTATGGGAAGTACTGCTGTTCGACAAAGCACAATGGAGCCAACGACTATCATTAGCACTGTAGTTCCAAATGCAACCTCAGGTTATACAAGTATGGGAAGTACTGCTGTTCGACAAAGCACAAATGGTCCGACAACTGCACGTAGCTCTTCTATTCCAACCACCACCATGATGAATACCACAACAACTGTTGTGTTAAATACAACTACTTCAAGCACTATTATAGGAAGCACAACAGTTCATAGCAGCACTGCTCGACAATCTACTACTGCTACTACTTTAGTGTTGTATTTTGTCAGTATTTTGTTCTGTGTCATAATTGCTTGAATACTATCTATCAGCTTCATATAAATAAATCGAGTTCGCACTCATAAAATATTGTTAGATTACATGCTACTGCATACGTTTAAGTATTTTTTCACAGTGAAAGAGGGTGTGGGTGTCGGGTGGGTCGTATTATTGCACTCACATCGAAACCATAGTTGCTTTTATTGTGATGAATAGTTTGATTCAGATTTTGAAGTTTGAAATAGCTATCGCAAATAAAGTAGATTTTCATGAAATATGCATCTTATATTATCTTAAGAATTGAGAATACTAAACATGTTCTTCGAATTTTTAGTATCTGTATATGGTTCCTCTCATATTCAACAGTAATAAAAGAATGTTATCATGCGGTCATATCCATTTTGCCTTTTAATTTTTGTATTGGGTTCTTCATTTTTGTTTTTATTTTTCAGTTACGGTTCGCTTTAGATTTTACTGCAAACTGTATCTAATGTATTTCTCGTGCTGCCTTCGAAATGTGGATTCCTGATGAGTGTTTCGTTATTTTAAATAGATAAGGCGAAATGCGTCGGCGAAATTAATCTCTACATTTATTTTATTATTTTCTTAAATTTAGCACAGAAAAAAATAATTTTACTTTTAACTAAAATTCGACTTTGATCGGTTGCTGAAAATCAAGAGTTGAGACGAGCAAATTGATTTGTCTTTTCCTTAAGAGATAGATTGATTTGTTTTTGAACTGATTTAAGAATAGCCTAGTTTATCCATGCTATATGTAAGACAGTACAGTTGTCTGTCAGTGTGAAAAATCAATGCTTCTGAACAGGGTTAGTGACAAAAATGGTTTTGATGTAAAATTTGAACAATTGGAAGAAATTCATATGAAATTGGGATGAAAGCTTTGATTTCTCCTACTGTGTCTGTATTACGAATGACTATATCACACTAGCGTGAACTAAATTTATCTCATTATGTATAGATTTTGTAAAACGATTTTCTATGTATAACAGTATAAATTAGAATAAATCATGTTGATTCTATAAGTAATCATATAGATTTAATGCCATCTGATGAGATCCTTAAGCAAGATGAAAACGCGTCATGGTTGTCTATATCACACCCACACCCACACCCACACCTTTACGCAACGCTATTTAAGGATGCCCATCACTTACCGTTAGTTCAATTGCGTCGGGATGTTTTATTTCTGATCTATGACATACAGAAGGATGTTCATCGCTTGTTGCTACCTCAATTTATTTTATCTTGTCAAAATGGTATGCTTCTGAGCACAATCACAGTGGCCTATTTTGGTTGACAAGGTTTAGTAGATGTCTTGAGAGCAAACATCACCCTTTCACGTGACATTGAGTATAGAAACTCAGTACAAACAAATATTCATCAGAATATGCTCCTCGAAACTAAACAGACAGTAATTTATAACAGAACGTATATATTTTGTCATAAATATGTACAGTGATCTTTGATTTATTCTAGTTCGTTCGATCATATCGTTAGATTTCACAAAATCAGCCAAATAATCAAAACCATCAACACAACTAACAAAAAGAATACCAAAGCTGTAGTCAACGTACTCAGCAATATTTCAATGACAACAGCAGAAAAACGAGGTAAAGAAGCATTATAAAATTTAAACATATTAAAAACAAACACATATGCAGCAACACCAACAGGTGGTATAGGTAAAAAATATCTTAAACGAGAAGAAATAAAAGAGCGTGTAAAATAAAGTATAATCCCTCCAAGTGCGATGAAAACTCCTGCAAAAGTGATTGAGAGCGTGTTGATTTTTAAAATTTCTTCATCCATCTTGATATTCGTTCTGTGATGATTAGCTTGGGCTGCGTGTTCCTCTTCTTGGGGGTTACTGTCGTGAATTAACGCGGGATTTTCAATATCAGAGAGTTGAGAAGAACAAGAATTGATTGACGTGTGTGGTTGTTGCTGGTTTTCTTCCAGTGTTGTTACAGTGACAGCTATTTCCAATTCGATTGTATCTGCTTGCATTCGAGAGATAGTGTGAAGTTCTCGTGTTGCGGATGTGGATGATGGCTTCAACCTCCGCTATTGTTGTAGATTAAAAATATAATATCCAGGACGTCAGTCTACCTATCTTGAGAAAACTCACAATGAAAATGACTGCTGTGAACTGGTGACGTGATGATGATGGTTTCGTACTGTTTATTATGATAAACGATGATGAAGGAAGATCACAAAAAAACACGAACAGACGACACGAAGATACGAACGACGAAAGGAAGAAGGGGTTGCCGCTATTGAAGATGAAAACAACAAGACTGAAGATGGAGACAGAAAAAGAAAATCGAAAAATGGAGATAAAGAAAATGCAGGAGTGTGGTTAGCGTCACATAGGAACACCTATGGTCGCTAACAGATAGCGAGAAGCTGTTATGTAGCGGAGTATGCATGTTTGAGAGAGATCATGGTCAAATCCACACTCTTTTAAAGTATTAGATGATAAACTTCGAACAAATGACAAATTCTATTCTGGCTCACAAAAATTTCATGAACAAGATGAATGGGTGGGGTGTTTCTAAAAATGTCCCGTTACCCTGTCCGCGAAGTATACCTATGTTATTTCTGCTGTAATTAGCAACAGCAATATCTAATAGTAGGTCGTTGTTGAAATCATAAATCGCTACATGTCTAGGATAAGAATAAGATCCAGTTGAGTATGTCACCCGAGAAGCAAAAGAACCATTACCAAAGCCAAGAAAAACGCCTACGCTGTTAGATTCACTGTTAGTTACTATGATATCCTTTTGTTGGTCATGATTCAAGTCAGCTATTGCGAACGACGATGGTCGAGATCTGTCGCCCGTTAGGAGAGTTGCATGATTTCGAAAAGTAAAATTAACATATCCGAATATCGCGCCTATATTACCGTCGTCTTCATTAGCTACAGTAATATCAAGTCGAGAATCACAATTGAAATCACCCATTGCAACATAGTATGCGGAAAGACCAGTTTGATACGTTGCTTCAATCGTAAACGAACCATCTTTATGTCCAAGAAGTACAGCAACATTTTTTGCGACAGTATTGGCGCCGATGATATCTACTTGGCGGTCATTGTTAAAATCATCCATAGCTACAAACGATGGAGCAATGCCTATAGAATAAGTTTTTTTTTAAATAAAAATGACCCATTTCTAGATCCGAAGAGTACACATAACGTATCCAAAAGTGTACTAACGACAACAGTGTCTGATGTACTAACTTTATTGAAATCACCAACAGCAGCTGACGTTGAAGAGAAAGATCCCGTTGTATAAATCGTTGAATTTTCGAAAGTTCCATCATTAATGCCAAGTAACACAAATATATTGTTTGCGCCTTCGCCAGTTACGACTAGATTCAACACCTTGTCATGATTGAAATCAGCACTAGTCACAGAATATGGAATCAAAGTGCCTATACAAGACTTAGTCTTACTAGTAAAATTTCCATTTCCATTTCATGATAGTACACTCAAATTCTTAGTACTTTGGCTAACGACGACTGCATCGAGTTGATCATCATTATCGAAGTCAGCAGCAGTAATAAATATTGGATAAGAATTAAAACCAGTTGAAAATGTTTTGTGATGGGTAAAAGAATCATTGTTGTTTCCAAATAATATATCTAGGTACAACACTTGCAACAAAAAGTGCGACAGCAATGTTTAGGTAACTGCCTTTGTTAAAATCTCTGATGGCCAAAGTAACCGGAAAAGAATCGTAGCCAGTGAAATATATAATTGGATTGGAATAACAACCAGATCCATATCCACAAACTACACTTATACTATGAGCACCATAATTTACAATGACAAAGTTGAGTACTCTGTCATTATTAAAATCAGCTATAGAGATCCAAAGTGGACGAGAGGAGGAGGTTGATATTGTTATCTGACTAGCAAACGATCCATTTCCAAATCACATAAATATTCCGATATTTTTAGCGCCGAAAATTTGCGACAACAATATCAATGCAATACTCATCATTAAGATCATTAACAGCTAGCCTATATGGAGCGGATTTAACACCAGTTGAATATGCCATCTGTTTTGACATCTTACCAGTACTGTTACTAAGAAATATATCTACACTGTCAACAGCGTAAAAAGCAACAGCGATATCTAACCAAGCATCATTGTTGAAATCCCCGATCGCAACCGGTCGTGGGTGATAATTGTATTCAATTGGATGTTTAGCTGTTGATATAAATTGCAAGTTACATTAGTCATTTAAATTATACCAATGCGATGAAAGGGTAATTTATAGAAAACAAAAATTTCAAAATGTTTTTATGGATTATACATCATCTTTGCACTCTGGAAACATGACACAGTATGGTTAGCTCTAATGACTATGGTGTAGGCCCTACTAATAATTGAATGACTGTAAGTGATTAAAGGCTTTTAGCAGTAGCATTAATCCGTAGGATAGTTCCTAAAGATTGAGTTATAGTGCACCGCGCCACTACGACCATTCATAATTTCTCTACGTCATAGATCACTCAAATAATGTGAATATTGTTACGTTTCTATGAGATACTCTTCGATTACTCAATGTTTGACGAGTACTATTGTTATTTCTTAAGTTGATTTTTATCATTGCATGACATATCAAGGAAAAATGTACTTAAACAATATACCTGGTTGTTTTGTTGAAGTGAGACGAACAATCGCGATTCCAGTAATTGTCATCAGAGCTGTCAATAAAATTATGAAAAATATTCCAACTTTCCAGCATAATGCTTCCTGTGACAATTGTCTTCTAAGTAAAAGGAAAATCGAATACGAATAATAAAGAGGCATTCGAATGCATTGTGGTATTGAATGGCTATAATGATTTTTTAATGATACAGCAAAGTTTGTTAACCTTTCCAGAATCTGTGATTAGAGTTTTCTTCGGTGTAGGCAGAATAGATGGATTTTATTCGAAGATTGAATACCAAACTAATAAACCGTTTGGATTTGTAAGTGTTATCGTTATCTATAGGACAGAAAAATTCAAGTTAATGGGAAAGAGAATGAACGGCTTGTAAATAAATGCCCAAAATTTGAATATATACAACAAAATTTAAGGCTGTGGGTGTAAATTCTGGTATTACATTGGACACAGATTCTCAAGGTATGGGTAAGTGTATCAAAATGAAATTGGAAACACCAGTTTGATAAATTTATCATATAAAATCTCTAGGAAAATAATATGTTATGAATGAAATACGTGTTTTTCTTACAGTTTGTAATAATGACAGAAATATTCAGTGCAACAAAAAAAGTAACAAAAAATGGCTGATTTCTGATGTGAGGTTCGATATGTCCCAAACATTCGAACTATGAAAGCAAATAAATATTATCTTGGTTATTTTCAGGTAGGCCACAATTAACAGAACTATTTATTTCGGAATTTCGTTGTAAATGCATGCGTTTCTCGTTTAATTATCACTGAAGCATAATTGTTTAGTGTTCGTGCATGACTTCATCAATGTACTTATATCTTAGCATTAGTAGACGCTCATCACTGGCTAATAAGTCGTCACAATATTAAAAATATATACAACCATCACTTGCAGCCATGCTTACTCGTTAGTGGCACACGTTTCAGCATGCACATTATTTAAGCAAAATGAATTGAAAAAAGATATATTCCTGAAGATCATTCATAGTATACTTGAAAATAGTGCTAAGCAGCTGTAGAGAATCGTTTTTCCATACGATTGCAGGATGATGAAGCATGACAGCGCGCAGAGTTTTCAACTTTTCGCCTCTTTCAAGAATAAATAACACAAACTATGTTGAAGATTGAAGAACAGATAAAAGGAATATGTTACTTCTGTCATGCTTCATTGCTGCTTATTTCGCACTAATAAATATTGTTCTTTTCACTCGCGATTTTTATTTCTACTGATGGCTCCTACATTATGATTCATACTCTCCATATTTTAGGGGCATGAAAATTTTGCAGTATATTATTCCTATAGCTTCCCATAAAGCACTTGATTTAACCTAAATATTTCATCATAATATCTGTCATTATTTGATTTGTATGAATATGCTAAAGGTAAATGATAATGCATTGATAATAGCAAGAGAACAAAGTTAAAACTATGAGAAACGCAGAATTCATTATCTATTTGTCATCCGACAAACGATGTTACAATATTTAGTTTTCTTACTCATGTAAGTTCTAAACGCAAAGCTGAATTGAAAATATGAGATTTGTTAGAAGTATTTACATTAATATACTTTATTACTTTCAGAATAATCACAACAAATAATGGCAAGTGCTAAACGAAATCTAAATAGGTCAGCTGTTAATTTTATGAAATTATTTTTTTGTATTTAGGTCAAGCAGTTTATAAACAATCAAGTGACTGTAAGCCCATACGAATTTCTCACTTCACCATATATGTACAACTTGAAAATTGAATTCAATTGAAAATTGAAATTTTCTATTTTCAACTGAATTCAAGTTTTAAGTTTGACACTACTGTTCAAGGCAGCTGCTAACATCAGCCAAGAGTTGTTGTAACAAATCTCAGTATATAAAAAAAGAGCTGAGTCATTTCTATTGAAAATCTAGGTCCCGGTAACCTTAAATGGAGTACAAGAGCAACAACCGTAATTGGTAATGGTTATGGATCGCACTTTGATCAATTAAGCTTGCCTTCAGGTCTCTTTATCGAACCTAAAACACAGATTTTGTATGTTTCTGATAATACTAATAATCGTATTCAAAAACGTTATCCAACTGGTGAAATAATAACAGCTGCTGGGAAAGCCGATGGTACAGGTGGAACAACATTAGATAAATTATGGAATCCAGTAGATGTTGTTGCAGATGAAAATGAAAATGTTCTTGTTGCTGATTGGAATAACCAAAGAATTCAATTTTGGAAGAAAGACGCGAAGATTGGAGAAACAATTGCAGGAAACGGCAGTAAAGGAGAAGCATTGAATGAATTTAGTTATCCAAGTAGGGTTGTACTCGATTCAAAGAAAAATATTATCGTTGCTGATACACAAAATCAGCGTATTACACGATGGTCACCCACGTATGATCCAAAAACATCTACTGGTACAATCATGGCAGTAAGTTGTTCATTCTTTTTCTATCGTCTAACAAAATATAAATCTCTTGATTCATTCGATTAAAGACGAAAAGAAAATTACGAATAGAAAGCTAAGTTTACGATTCAAGTGTACTTGATTATAATATTTCTTCTAGGGAGGTAATGGTGGAGGTCTTAATCCATATCAATTAAATAATCCATTTGGTCTATTTTATGATGAATTAAATCAAATTTTTTATATATCGAACCATGACTCACATTCAATTACGCAATGGGTTATCGGTGATCATGAAGCTCGCAATATTTATGCTGGCATACCTGGAAGATATGGAAATAGTTCAGCTCAATTGTTTTATCCAGAAGGTATAACTCTGGATACATATGGTAATTTATATATTGCTGATTGTCAAAATCATCGAATTCAAATGTTTTGTCCAAACGCTATATTTGGTATTACAATAGCAGGCACGGGACAACCAGGAAATAGTAGTCACGAATTAAGTTATCCAGGCGATGTTGCATTCGATTCGGAACTTAATTTATATGTTACGGATACGTTTAATAGCCGTATACAAAAGTTTGAAAGAGTAAAATAAGGGTGTAAATCCCAAAAACGTTCTCATAGTCACCCATAAATTTCTAAATGCTGATGAAAATAGGATTGCACTTCTAGTAAACGAAAACTTATCTTTCGATAAGAAAAGAAAAACATCAAAATAAATTTATTACTATAACTACAAATGCTATGACTAGACACAAATGGAAAAGACTAAAGATGGAAATCGTTGATTGAAATAATTTTGATGCTGATGAAAAAACATTCTCATCGAATTTAAAACAATCACTTGTAACCATATTGAAATTATTTGCCTCACAAAATTGTAAACCTGATTTATAGAGTGTACCTAAACGATAAATATGGATAATAGAAGATTTTATTTTAAATATATATATATATATATATTGATGCATACCAATAACATTTCCACTGAATTCAGCGGTTTTACAATTTTTATATAATTCATCACAAAACGTTTGACAAATTTTAACGCGTCTAAATGATAATAGGTAAGTTAATGACAACAAACTAAATAAATGGATTTTACTTTTTTATGTACCATAAATATTGATCAGGTGCACAAAAGAAACACATGAGATAATTCATCATATTTCGACATTGTGCTGAAGCTTGATGTAAAGTGAACATAGACTCGAAAACACTTGCTACTTCTGTTCGTTTACAACATGCATCATCTTCATACCATGAACAATTAGCTAGACCTTTTTCTACTTTTGGATACCGTTCATCGGCTATAAACAGGATTTAATATATGTATATTAGGATTATGCAAAAAATAGCTTACAAAAAAATCGGCACGGTCTTGTCGTATCAAAACGGATTTTAATTAATTCAACATCATCTTCATATTCTTCAAGTGTTAATGCATCAGTAAAACCGGTATTTAAATTAACGGAATTCGTACAGTGAAGAGTGAATGATATTAGATAAAATAATATCAAACGAAAATTCATTGTTCATGCTGGACATAGAAATTACATGGAAATGAAAATAATATCGACAAAGAAATATATCTAAAAAATTTAGAAAACTATAATGATCAAACAGAAGGAATTTCATTGTTCATTCATTCAATGGTTCCATATCGTAATCGTTTTTTTTTTGGAAAAGAAAAATGAAATTCTATTTCCTATTGATACTGAATGTCTTTAATAAAATGAAGTCACATATTTATTGTATTAATAGCACTAAAAAGATAAGAAATTTTGATTTGTTTAACAATAACAATAGTACTATGTCAATACACTGCACACTTAAAACAATTCATAATAATAATAATAATAATAATAATAATAGTAATAGTAAATGCAAAAAAAACAAAATGACTTTTATAAAACCGATGGCGCATCGATAGCACCTTTAAAAAATCTTAATAACTGCAAAAGCACCGCAAACAAAAATACTAAATTCTAGATTTATGGATCAACAAATGAAACCATAATATATCTTATTCCTTTCGTGACTGGTAAACCTTCGTGTAAATGCGTTAAACGACCTGGTTGCATTAATGCCCAACCACGACGTGTTGATGTTACCGAACAATTATATCGAACAAATCGACAGCCTCCGCCCTAAATTAATCAAATATTTTTTAATAACAAAATCTTCTTTTAGTTTTACTTCAAAATCTTTTCCGGCATCATTCAATGCAAGATTAATTGTATATGTTGATGCATCATGATGAGCTCGTAGTTTATTTTGACGGTCAGGCATATAACGAACAATGAAATTCAATACAGCTTTTGGTGGCTATAATAATTTTAAAAAAGATCTGATTATTCGATTTCAAGTAAATATATATAAAAATTTACATCACTGTAGTAACCAGTAAAAACTTTTTGTTGTATTGGTTGAACGATATCTCGAAGAATAAATAACCAATGTTCTTGCAGACCAACTTGTGTCATATGAATATCATCTGTTGGAACATTTTCATAGCCACCAGATAATCGAGCATCCTAATTCAATAAAAAAATAGGTGAATTTTTCCTTTCTTTCTGTTCATATTGCAGTTTACATTATGCGTTGCTCCCGACCATTGATTGAATGTTTCCATCAGATTAATGAAATGTTCTGTAAATTCGTGTGACAAAAATGGAAACCAATAAACATCCGGACATGGCTAAAAATCGAAAGCAGTGTTTGCATTTTCGAAGAATTAAAAAAGTTAAAATACTTGTTCAATTATTGCATCTTTTTCGAGAGCTTTATGATAATCTGGATGAAGATACCGAGCTTTCCAATCCTTAGAAGATCAATCGGTTTTTAAAATTAAATGTAAAAAATTAAATTTTACTTTAACATTATTAAATATTTCATACAACTCAGGTTGAATTAATGATATATTAAAATTGTCTGTATCGATCAAATGTCCATAATTCAGTTCATTCGTTATGTACATAAAATATCCCTTTTAATAAAAACAAAACTATTAACAGGCAAAAGCAAAGGCTATTCTATAGACATACAGCATCTCGTAATGATTGACAAAGTTTGACATCGGGATCTATTTGTGTATCGACATATGTCGGTGTAAAACGTTGAAGAAACGACCCATTAATTAAATACGAATGAGCAATATGTGGAACATTGAAAAGACCCCTAGAAAAAAAAATTATTTCAATCACTATCTATATATATCGTACGCCTAGAATATTAGCCCGAAAAAGCTTTCGTTCTGGTGTATGTCGCTTACATTTTTTTGTAATTAATAAAATCCATATAATCAGGTGATCGTTGATAAAATCCAGCATCTGAATAATCTCCCCAAAAATTACTCCAAGTTTGCCCCGGTCGTAAAAGCATTGGTGCAACAACAGTTCGATTAGCTGCTATTAATTTAATTAATGTATCTGGATGATCAATATGAGCGATTGAATCGAGAATAAATAAATAATCACATTTGTCTTCTTGACATTCATGACTAAACATAAAGAGAAAAGTTTTTCTTTTATTTCTCTTGTTTGAAATGAGACAATAGCGAAACATACATTGCTTGTTGTCGTGCTTCAGCTTCGGTTACATCATCGCCGACATTCAAATATTTGACGAATTTATATTCATCTTCGCTGAATTTTTTCAAATATTGCTCCGTAATATTTTTATGGTACTCAACCTGAAAATGAAGGGATGTCATTTTAAATTTCGTGGACATCTATAATTTCGTTCTGTAATTGTTATTCAATACAGACGTTTTAGACTTGCTAAATATTCGTTAATTCTTACTTGATTATGAATCAAAATACTCAAACGTTGTTTTGGATACGTCAATTTCATGATTTTTTCAAAATATTCACGGAGAAATGGTGTTGGAAATTCAATAAATAAACCAATATAAACCATAGGCCATTGCATGAGCTTAAAAAAAAAGGAAATGGAATTCATTAGACTTTCGATAATAAAATCTTTCATTCTTACATCATCAATTTGTGTAACATCGAATAAACTCTCTTTACATTGTAAACATCCCTCGTTTGTTGACCAAGTACGAGCAATATAGTTACTTAAATAGTTCAAACTTTTCTATAACAGAAAATCAAAACTTTAAATAATAAAACTAAAGTTTTTATTTCTTTTTTACTTGAGCAGAACCATTGCCTTGAATAACCGTTGGTATTGAATCAGTCCATGAATTGTGTACATAAACATCATCTCCATTTGCTGGTAATTGAAGTTCATCAATAGCTCCATTTAAATTCATAAAAATATCAGCACGCTTGTCAAGTACAATGGACCATTTATTCTAAATTAGAATAATTATTTTAAATAAGAAAGCAAAATATTTTCTATTCTTACTCGACTAGATTCATCAAGAAAAACTTTTGTAAAAAATATTTGTTCATCGTTAATATCATCTTGACTTGTTATCATTTCATAAATGTCCCTAGCATAACCCATAAAACCGGCAGAATTTAAATAGCGTTTTTCATTACTTCCAACCATTGGATAATCATACTAAACAAAATACACAAATCATATTCGAAACAAAGAAAATATGAGTCGCTTACTTGTAAATTTTCATCAGGCCAACATTTTTCTTCGGCACCAAAAACAATTCGAGCTGGTTTCAATTCTTCGAATTTGCTTAGTACGAATACTGGTCCTTGAGTAAATATGACATTGTAAGCATCCGTATAGAGAATAATTTTTTTTTTATCATCTTTATAACGGACTAGGTTGTCTCGAAAAATCTTCATTCGCTGTTCAGCATTGGTCGATTCTTGACCGAGACCATAAATCTATATGAGCAAAATTACATTTACAGGCTAACATATATTCCTTCTCAGGCACAATAGACAGGGTGAACAGACAACAGTGGTAAGCTGGCGTGATTCTGAATAATGATCGGAATACCCC